AATCCATTCAAATAGAAATCAACTTCATAATTAATACTGCATCATTCCCATTATAAAAAAAAAAGAAGTCACTATTAATTATTGATGGTGCTTGCATTTCCACCGAGCTGTTTGCTCCTTTTCACCCTCCAGTTCACTGAGTGCAGCACGGACAAATCAAATCCCTCAGAAATGTGTAAGAGAATACTCCATTCTCCTCCTGCACGCAGGAAGACTCTGCCACTGCATGTCCTTATCAAGCAAAATACAGAGGGGCATTTGTTTGCACGAGCAGAGCTAGAATATTCTCTTTAGAGTTCAGCTTCCTCCTTTCATCCCACCCACCATCAGACACTTCCTGACATTTCTCCTGCAGGCAGAGTAAGGCAACTGCTTTTTTTTTTTTTCCCCTTCTGCAACGGCTGTTCCTCCAGTAATCTGTGGGTGGTGGGGGAAGGGGATGTTATCTCCACAGCAAACACAGCCAAGCAAAGCAAGTCTGGGACGTGAGGGGGAGTTTCAGGATGAAAATAGGCCTCTGCCACCCCTCCTGCGTTTATGTATCTGTGACTAAGCAAGCTGAATGTGTTGCTTTTTGAAGCTTGGCTTCTCTCTTTCCTTCACCTTGGTCGGTTCCAAGCCTCTTGGTGGCCTTTGTCCTCATGCCTTGGGGACCCGTGCAGGCCCCTGACGTCACCATGTGCCCTGGTGCTGCAGGACAAACCTACAGCCCTGCCCCCCCACTCAGCTCAGGCACTGAGAGGAGCCTCTGCTAACCATTTCATTCCCTCTGAACCATTCTCTGGTTTTGCTTAGGTCATTACAGCCCTGCCTTGGAAGCTGCTGGTGTCTGCAGCGGAGCTTTTGGCAGTTCTGCTCATCTATTAGACAGAGAAGATTGCTGGCAGCTCATCTCTGGAGCTGTCACTGCTGCTGTGCCAGTGGGTACCTCCAGGTTCAGGGGACTGGTGGGCAGATCGCAGCACACAGCTGCCAGGTCCTGGTTCTTGCTCTCACAGCAACCTCTTAATCTTGCTCCCCAGCATCGTCTCTTCTGAGATATTGGTTGAGAATTAGCAATTTAGGAAAGTCGTTGCTCCCATCAGTGCTGCCTAGAGCATCTGTTTGCACATGAAGCTGAGTTGGCCTCTCATCACATCCAATTTCATTCCCCCACAACGCCATGGACAAAGAAGGACCCAAGGTACCATGGTACAACTCCAAGGCCTCCTTCCCTTCAAGTCTCACGTTCCCTCAGCTCTCCTGTTCTGTTTTCTCAGTCTTCTAGACACTGCTGTCCCTGTCCCACAGCCTCAATGCTGTGCTCAAGCAATCAGCTGCTACTCTGGAAGTCAGGATGACACAACTCTGCCAATATCAGACTCCCATACTCTTATTGCACGTTCTACACTGGTTTTTGAGTCTATCCACTGACCCAAATGTGGCTACGATAGATGCAACGGTCCCTTACAAAGCCTGTCCTATTAGGATGCTCACTGAGCTCACTGAAAAGGAATTCAGATTATTCAGTTAATTTGTGCTCAGCCAAACCATGAGGCAGCAGCACTCCCTGCACTTACAATCCCCTGAATAGAACCTGTGCTGGAATGGAGGAAGGAGTGTGTGGATCTCAATATGTAGGGCTGGCTGGTTTTCTGGGAGATCTCTATTCAGCTGTGCATGCCTGTGGGTATGGCAGAGATCACTCATCCAGTTCATTGAACTGCAGCCTGCATGTGAAAGGAGCTTCGTGGTTTCTTTTTAAAATGTCACTGTTCTAAAGACAAATAGTCTCACGCAGGATTGTACAGCAGATTATAATATGGACACTGCAGGGGTAAATTAAAGAGCAATTCAAACATAATACTCTGCGGAAAAATCTTATCTTTCCCCTGCTTTATCAAGGCATTTATCTAGGTATGCTCTACACCAGTCATCACCACATTATCTACATATTCTACAGACTCTTTTTTAGCCACATTAATACATACACAGTTCATTTAGAGTCAAAATAATGTCAGGTCTGAACAAGCTGGAAAACATGCTTGACTACTTCAAATGCCCTATTCACAGAAAGGGCAGAGATGCATCTAAGCAGCAAACATTCCAGTGATCATATAGCTTTAAATGGTCTGTGATTACTGCCATCCTCTCATGTATCCACAGTATCAGCTTAAGCAAACCTTCCACCAAGCATAGATTTCAATTAGTTTTATTATGCTCCGTTTTAATGACAGGATCTATTCTTAACAACATTTTTTGTTCAGTGGTTTGAAAGCATTTTCAGTTGCACAGGGAAAGCTCAAATGTTCCCATCAGCTCCACAATTCACTTATGAGAGACATTCAATGAAATAAAGATGCCTCCTTCTGTCGTCATGCTCTGAGCAAGCTACACAACATTTTCATTTTATAAAATACAATAGAAATGTGCAACGCAGCCCAAAGAGGTAATCACAACAGCTTTGTGAAGTCTGCTGTTACCGGTATTTGAGGTTAGTCTGAATGCCTGAGCTTTTGGAGCTGTGATTACATGAAAATAAAGGTTTAATGAAGCCAACCAACCAACCCACTCCGCCAAGAGGCGTGCTTTCAAAGCTTAAGTCTGCAACTGAAAAGGAAGTGCACCACGACTCAGAAACCAGAGGTCAGCAAGAACAAATAAATACATTTGTTACTGTTAAATTTGTAATTCATAAACTAATGTCATTTTCTAAGGTTTTTTTTTTTTTTTTCTGACTTGAATACTTGGATTTCTCAACACTGCTGCTATGATTTAAATCATTTAGAAATATTCACACTGTAAAAGGGTCCTTGCCCTTTTCTTTGTGTTTCCTGTTGTTGCAGAAAATACCTTTCACAAACACCTGCATTTTCAGCACATGTACAACACATCTGTGCATGCTCAGAGGCCATTTACGCACCACAGCCACGTGTCCTGCTGTCAGCTCAGGGCTTCAGTGGATGTGTCTGCTGGAAACTCAATATGTCGCAGCCTTATATGCAGATTTTCGAGCTATTCACAAATCAAAACCAACATAAATATTAATTCATATTAAAATATTTTATTGCAACCGCATTTGGTGCCCATTAAATGGAATAAATACTTACACTTTTCACCTGCAGCTGCCAAAGGATGAAGGTAATTGTGGAACAGTTACTTGATTTCACTGTAAGCTTACAGTCTGCCTGTAATATCCTTTGTCATAAAGAATCCCAAATTCTGTAAGAAATTTAACAAAAATACACATTAACTGGAATTACTGCATATTTGAGGATGTGAAAAGCGTTGTTATTATTGTATTACTAATTATTATTGTTAAACATTATTAAAATATTATTCATTAACTGCGATGCTGTTGTTGGAATGCAGCCGCTTCTAAGGAGACATCTGACAGCATTTCTGAGAGGAATCCCAACACTACACATCGATTTCAGGCCAGATGAAGATCAGCATTTGCTAAAGATTCATTTCAATTACTGCCGAAACGCAGCTGCTGCTCAATACCCCCCGTAATTGTGCAAATCTGATAAACCTGGGCAGTGGAGATTGCTCTGTAGGACCAATTTTAATATGCTTTTAGATTATTTAAATTGTAACGAGAAAGGAACACACTGTTCTTACCAGCCCTTGTAGGTATGAGTAAGGGTTGACATTGATCGCCATAAAAAAGGCAACAATTTGTATCTTATTCATAGCATCTTATTTTTTTTTTTAATAGGCCTATGCCTTGCTAACATTTTGAGTGTCTTAAGTACTGGAAAGCACGAAAATCGCAGGCAACATTACAGAGCTTAAAATATTTAGGCTTTAACCTTGAAGAGCGATACTAATTTTTGCAAGTGAAATGTGACCTCTCAGGTATCTCAAGGTAAACAAGTATGCAAATCTTCACGGGATGAAATCCTCAGAGTTTGTAGAAACAGCCCTTACATCATGTTCAATTGACACCAGATGAGGAAAAATGTGGTCAGACGTAAAACATTCATTCTACATTAAAAGCACGGCTGTTTTACAGTTGTACCAACCAATATTGGATTAAAAAAAAAAAAAAAAAAAAAAAAAAAAGGTTTGTTCATGAGTAATAGAGCATTGGCACAACAAACAAAAAAACCAACAGGTTTTTAGGCTGTTCCAATAAAGTGAAAAAACTGAATGTCCTGGAAGTGCTCCATGAGGTCTTCAAAACCACTCCACAGTGGATTCAGCACAGGAAGGAAGCGCTTCCAAGCTCCACGGTCTGACATGAATCACAGGATCACAGAATGGCCAGGTTGGAAGGGACCTCAAGGATCATGAATCTCCGACCTCCCGCCACACGCAAGGCCACCAACCTCCACATTTCACACCAGCCCAGGCTGCCCAGGGCCCCATCAACCTGGCCTTGAACACCTCCAGGGATGGACGGGGCATCACAGCACCTCTGGGCAGCTGTTCCAGCACCCCACCGCTCTCATAGCAAAGAACTTCCCCTCGACATCCAACCTCAATCTGCCCTCCCTGACATGATGTGAGACAAAGCATGAGGCAAAGCTTGAGGTGCGAGGTGAGGTGTGAGGTCAGCCTGAAGCACCCATCGCCATGACACTGAGGTCTGGCAGCACACCATGGGCCTCATGGCCGCCATGGGGACAGCTGCAGCCAGTCACCGCTTGACAAAACCCAAGTCAAACTTCGCAACTCCATCCCTACACCTCCCTGGATGCGGCCAAAGAGGACCCCGGTCCTCAGCCCCACACCGCTCTCCATCCTCAGCCTCCCTTGGGGGAGCCACAGAGCCAGGCCCTGAGGAGGCCGCAACGCGCCTGCGCAGAGGGGAGCCCGGAGGCGGAGCCGAGAGGTGCTGCGCAGGCGCGCGGCGCATGCGCGGTACGACCCCGCGCTGGGCTTGTCGTTGCAGCTTTAAGAGGGCTCGCGGCCTGGCGGGTACGACGCCCCCCCACAGCCCTGAGGAGCCGCCGGGCCCCCCGCCACCCCTCCTGCCGCGGGACGGCGCGGGGCCGGCCCCGGCACCCCCCGATCCTCCCTCGATCTCCCCCCGAGAAGCGAGAGGGAGGCTGAAAGGGAGTGACCCCCGGCCCCGCGCCCCGGGCTGGGACGGCTGAGAGAAGGAGGAGAGGGGGGGGGGCGCAACATGGCGGAGGCCAAGGAGGAGGGGCCCGGGCACTGCGCCAGGGTGAGTGGGGGGCGTGAGGGGAGGTCAGAGGGGAGGGGTCAGGGGGCGGGGCGGCGGGCTGCGACCACCGGGATCCGCCGCTGTCCGGCCGGCTGCATCGCGGGTGGGCCCGGCGGGCTGGGAGCTGCCCTCGGGCTGTGGGGAGCTGCCCTCGGGCTCTGGGTGCTGCCCACCCTGCGCTGTGTTCCATTCTGTCCTTGTTGAGAGCATCTCGGCAGCCTTTAGGTAGCATCTCTGCGTCGCTGAAATCATAAACTTAGAACCTACTGTCGATGCCATCTGCCTGTCTGACCTCTTCTTGTTCCAAACGCGATGTTCTTGTTGCTCTCCTTCAGTTTATTTCAGTAAGTGTAAGTGAGGCATCGATATGGCAGCTCCGTGCAGGTGGTTCCCAAAGCCGTCAGCACTGCTGGCCCCAAGGCTTGGCCCTCCGTTTTCACAGTCTGTAAGTACACGTGGATCTGCTTGAAGAACAGTGGAAGGTTCTTGTCCATGTCTTGTAGCCTGTGCAGAAACTGAGGATGAATAACTTTGAAGCAGTCCTCAAGGTAGTCTCGCAACACCTCGTGTCATTTCTCATTGAAAGCTTTATGATAGAAATGTGGTTGTTGCTGCTAATTTGCATTTGAATCTGTATGGAGCAGTCTGTAGGCTGCTAAATGTCTCTGAGCTGTCGAGTTCCTCATTTCCAAAGATGAAGAACTTTTCCCATTCTCTAACCTTGGAAAAAGGAAGAACATGAACTAGTTTTCCATTCCTATACGTAAGAGGAGTTTTGTTGTCTGAATTTATTGCGGAGAACGCAAAACTTGCATTGAAACTAATTGATGCCAAACCGAGCAGTTAACCTTCCAGGGAGCAGTTGCACAGATGTTTGGCTACTCTGCAGCTATGGGAATGAACTTTATCACTGATTTGTCTTAAAGCCGTGGCTTTCACCGTGTTCTTGCTCACAAGCAGAGTCAAAGAATTTTGCGGGATTGCTCTCAGTTCTCACTCATCTGGAGGATCAAGAGTTTGTCTGTCTGCAAGACGTTCAAAGAGAAGTGGCTGCACGTAGGACAGTAGCATAAGAACTCTTAAATAAAACTTCATTTCCAATCACTGAAAAGTTAGCAGACATAAAGAACTTTCAGATCATGATGGCACTCAGGCCTTGAAGCTGGTTGCTCACAGAGGTTGTGGTCTCTGTCCTCACATCTGCCGGGCTCACCAGTGCCATTACTTTGGTATGCTCCATTTATCTGACAAGTTACCCGGCATTGCCCAGCGGAAAATAGGTTTTCCTTTTTTCTTCTTAAGAGTGTCAACTGCCAGCTAAGATAAAACAAAACAAATTATCATAAACTTAGCATTAGTTTCATTGGGCTCAGGAAAAACTGTGCTTGTGTTGGTTGGGTAACCGCCCACTTGGTAGTAAGTCTGGAAGTTTCCATCAATTATTGCTCCACGCGTCCCTCCACACTATGGAGAACTTCTGTGTGGTGTTTTTTGGCAGAATTGTGGAAGTTCTTATGGCTAAATGCTTAGCCTACCCAAAATCAAAACTGATGTATCTTCTAATGAAAATACATCAACGCATCCAGCTCTTCTTACTTACTAAATAATATCAGGATTGACGTAACAGACCCTTGTATTTTTTATGTACTTAGTTAAAATATTTGTAGCACTTCAACTTGAATTTGTAGGTAATGTTGCTGAATGAATGGTTTACATTTTGAATAGAATGATCATTTATTTCCAATACTCAATCAGTTGAGGTGGACAGGACGGTTTGTGGTGTGCAACACAGTGCTGAAATTTGACATTTGGGCTGCTGGGAATGAGTTTGGTGTGAATAGGTGAACACCTGGGTGTCTGCCTCAGCAAGCAGCTGTTTGCACAAGATGTTAAATTTTTCATGGGTTTATTTAAAAATCAAAGATCATCTCCTTTGGAAAGTTTTCTTTCTAGGTGCTCCTAAGTGGTGTAGAGGTGATGAAAATAAGATTTCTTTGCAAGGGCTTGAGCACTTCTCAAAGGGTGCTGTGCTGTCGTAATCCCTGAATTAACCTTGTTGAAGAAAATAAGCATAATCAAGCTTAGTCTTTTAGAGTAAGACTTTTCACACAGCATATCATAAGCAAAAAGAAAGTAAGCTGTTCACCCTTGTTTCAGGGCTGCTTGCATAGTTGGGATACTGGAAGTTAATTGCAAGATTTCTCCCAGTGTTCTCAAAGCACTAACCTCAACTGTCCTCTCGCTTGCTGACCACTGTATCCCACCATTCCTTCCAGGCATTCCCATTCATGTTGGCTTTTCCATAAATAAGTCTTGCAGCAAGTTTAATGTAGTGAATTTTCTTCAAGGTTTTCTGCCAGGGGCTGCCTCTGTTCGGATCGTTTCCATCATCTGTTTTACATTGCTGTGCTAACTGCATAAAGGCACTGCTCCTCCACCTGACTTGTGATCATCTGAACTTCTCAAGATAAGGCTTCTCCAGCAGAGCATGCCTCATCAAGGACATGTTAGCAGAACTGTTTGTGCTCTTGGCATCTGTCATCTTTGCCTTTCACACTCTAGTAGAAAAATGTGTTTCTGGTCCAACAGTGGCATGCTGTATTCTGTCCTTTCTGTAGAGAACCACGATGGTAATGTAGTTTGTTATCCACCTCAGATATGTGTTGAATTGTGAGAGTAGTTTGAAGCTCTAAAAGAGTAGACATGCAAATTATCATTAACTTAGTAATGCTTCCATTGAATGATGAGGTTAGAATCTCAATTAATCTAGCAGTTGCTTACAGCCTGGGTCTTGGGCTGGTCAGAAAGCTCCAGCGCTGCCCAGGAAGTTGTACCAGAGAGCAGGAGCAAGATGCAAGCGTTCTGGATGCTCTGAACTGACAATGCTAAGGTATAGCAGTCTGCTGTGCAGTCTGTGTCTGTAAGGCTGTACTGTAGTGTACAGGAGAAATGAGGACAGGTGGGTGTGATGGGGTTCTGGAGGAACATCTTTGTTTCCACTGAAAAGAGAAAAGCCAAATCACTCGCCTAATAATGTGTATGTATCTGCATTTAGGTGAGAAGAACCTGATGCAGAATCAGTGCATCTGGGCGTAGCTGTTCCTACAGGAGTAAATTTGGAGTTCTTCCTTATGACTGTTTTTTCTAAATTTTTTCCGGTTTTTTTTTTTTTTTTTGTGTGTGTCTTGATGTGCCTTGAATCCATTTCAAAAGTCAGTGGAATTATTTCAGCTTTATTCTAAATGGTGTTACGTGCTCAAGAGGGCTTTTGTGAAATAAAGTTTAGTTTAGGAGAAGAGAATGGTAGAAGTCAACCAGGGCAACAGTGGCAAATGTGATGGGAAAAAGAAACAGTGATATTTTTTTTTCTTTTATAAGAGCAGGAGGGGAGAGCATCACAGAGCATCGTAGAGCAGAGGAACGTGGAAGAGAAGCAGAGCAGAAAGAAATGATGCTTGAGTTAGGAAGAAACTTTGAAGAGTAAAGCAGATTGCATGATTGCTTATCTCTCATTAAGGACTGAGATAATGAAGTAGACAAGCTCTCCAGCTTTCACCCCCAGTTATTGTTGGCACTGAACAATTAGGAGAAGGCAAAGACTGGCAGTACCTGATGGTAGTTGAGATGATTCACCAGTGTGGGCCTATTAACATATCAGCCATGGTGTGAAGGAGGGCTGATAATCCCTGCTGTGTTTATCAACAAGCAGAAGGTGCTACGTGTGAACATTCTCCTCCTTTACATGCAATGCCATCCTGTTGGCTTCTGATTTGGGCGTAGATCACAATGAAAAGCAGATGACTTCAGTTTTAAACTTGTGTCTCTTTCTTACAGGCACCTCACGTGGTTAGTTATCCACTGAGCAGAGGGATTGCTCCTGGGTTGTATGGCTTCTCCCACCCCGGGTTGTTGTCGTGTTTCTCAGTGGTAGCTTAAGGATTCACCTTCCCTTAAAGACGTGGTGATAGCACTCAGTTAATGAGATCCCTTCTGGGTTAAGTGGAGTTGCAGCAATTGTGTGCTGTGCAGAACGTCGTCATACAAGTGAGCTGTGCTTTTGAAAGAAGAGGCCAAAATATTGAAGTATGTGCTGGTAATCTGGGCAGTGCTGCCTTCGTTGTGAGATGCTGGAGTGCGAAGTTTGGTTTGGGAGAATTGCTTGCTGTGCATTGCAGCAGAAATAGGTGATATTGTGTGGACAAGTCTGGTTTTGGAGCTTTTTGCATCTGTGTAACTCATGAGCTTCAGTTTTCTTCCGCTGCCATATGCTGTGAGGAATGGGAGTTCTCCAGTCTTCCATGGAGGTGTAGCTTAGCCAAAATCTCATTGGTTGTAGTGACTTAACCAGAGTGGGAAAGTTCAGCGAGGGTTCAATGGAAGAATTTCTTTGTTGTTAAAAGACAAGCCTTTGTTGTGGATTCCTCGCTTTGCTTTCTGTGTGGTGTGTGTGCATTTCTTCATTTGCAGAACCAAATGGAGGCTCTGGGGCAGCGCATCGTTCCCAGTGCAGGAGGAGCTGCACGGCGAGCATCTCCCAATGCTCTGCACAGGTTCACAGCTGCGATCCTTCAGGGAGAACACACCTTAACGTCCTGGTGTTTGACACCAGCTCGCAGCGCCTTGGTGCTCCGGGTTGTGGGAGCCATTGGTCAGCAGAGGCTTTGTTTGGAGCCGGCCCATGAATATTCAGAAATCCTAGGAATCTCAGAGAAATCTGGGGGCAGAAAGGGACGATCCGAGTCTGCGTGTCCCGGTGGATTGTTCTGTTCTAGAAAGGGAGAAATGAAATGCCAGCAGCAGGTGCCTAGCTCAGATTGTAGGAAGCTTCCACTTAAGAAGGATACCAAGAAACTGTACTTCTTGAAGGGGAAGATGGGACCCATGAGAAACCCAGCGCTGCCTGCCTTTGTCCTTTCACATGTATAGGTGTTTGGATTTTTTTTAATGCATCCCAGCATCCATCTCATTACTTCTAGACTAAAACCATAGAAGTTATTAAAACCAACCTTTCACAGTGCTGAGAAACCCACCTAACTCAACCCCCCCCCGGGGCTCCATCTCCCCACGGCGCACTCAAAGCCCACACGGTGCTGCCCAGGCTGTGTGCTCCCCCCTTGGGCTGCTGCCTGGGCCGGCTGGGGGGGGCCCTGCAGCTCCCAGCTCCATGTATGGCTCGCTGACCCCGCCGGCTTCTCTTCCTGCTGCCAATCTGTTCCTGCAGGTACCTATGGCAGGCCGGCTCTTTGTTACCTTCTGCTCTTCCTTCCCCAGGTGCTCGAAGGTACGGATGGCTGAAGCCGGCTGCAGTTGGGCTCCAGCAGCTCTGCTGCTGGTTTAAGGCTCCTGCTGTGAGGTTTGCACGGCTGGCAGCTCGGCATCCCTGCCGCTGTTACGTGGGAAAGGTCAGGGGATGCTTCCTGGGCTGCCAGCACCTGGTTCCTGAATGGCGGCGAGGATTGGAGTGGCTTGGAAAAAAAAAAACCCTCCATCTTCCTTAGCAGAATGCTGAAGCGAGGGGGTGTGCTGTGGTGTGTAGGTGCAGGGAAGCTGTGCAGACAAATTGAGGGATCTCTGCCTATTTTTAGTTGCAGTTTTCTTAACATCTGCTTCCTTCCCACAGTTCGCTGCTTGGCGATGCGGTACAACCTAGGATCAGACTTCAGAAGGCTTGCTGTGTGTGTTAAGTTGCTCTGGGGCTTGGGGTTAAAGGCATAATTTTGCATACAAAGCCAGGGTGCAGCCACAAGCTGCTTCTCTCTCCTTATCACACACTAAAAAGCCACTGATTCTTTGATCTGTGCACACTCTGCCAACCTGGGATGCTGTTAAAGTATGGCACAGGTTCTTAGTTATTTCAGATGAGCCCATTGTATGGAATGGTAAGCAGTGTCCTGCCACCCGCTCAGAGCAGTGGAGGCACTAATCCTAACACCAGCATACCATTAAAGAGATGCAGTGACATAACTAGTGGATGGTGTTTGCTTTTCTATTTTTTAATATATTTATAAAAGCAGCGCTTTGGTTGTAAAGAATAGTTAAAACACATTGCTTTCAGGAATGCCTAATTGTTTTGTCATTATTTCTTGTGTTATTTATTGCCACCTCACCAGGCAGAGCGCTGCTTTCTGCACAATGCTGGCTAATGAGGCAGAGTCACTAAGGAGGATATATTTTAAAACATTAAATTTTACTTCCATCACGCTCCAACAATTCTGTATCAGCTCTTAGGGAATGCTCACTGCCTTAGAAGCACTAAGTGTCATTAAGTTCCTCCCTGGCAGAACACTCGACTGAAGTGATCAAGTGAAGGTGTTTCAAGGTGTGATTGTGCTGAGTTTTGCTTTTGAAACTGGAAGTGAGTTTTGAGGGCTCTGCTGGGAGTTTGGAGCTCGTGGTTTTATATTTCCATTCTGGATCCTTTTTGTCCTGCACTTATCTGGGGCTCATGCTGGGATATCGAGGTGCCTCTTCGTGGGACTGTACGAAATGACCACAGGAAACACCTTCTGAAAACCAGTTCCATGTTTCCCTTTGCAGTTCTTTTGCCCCCTTTTTATCACCGAATCTTCAAAAACTGTTAGCAGAAATAAAAAGCATTACAGCGAATGGCAGCTGGGAGAACAGCCTGTGCTAATTCAGGAAAAAAAGTGTATGAGCCCATTTTGGGGCTTTGTTTTGTTAGGGAATGCATATGTGTACACATGTGTGTATTTATGTGTCTTTATGCATATGCAGACACATGTGTGCCCATACACACAAGCATGCCACCACTTGCTCTGGTTGCTGCTCTTTGGATGTACAGCAGGTGAGAGATCTGATGCTGTCCACCATCCAGGGCCGTGTGCTGCCTCAGCTCAGGCTGCTGCCGTTACCAGGAGTGGGAATTCTGTTTCACAAACACATCTTATGTGAACTTGTGACCATAAACACAAATCATCCCCTGCATCACAAACCGTTTTAAAGAAAGATGATTTCGTAGGGTAGCTCTATGGCTGACTTCCTAATAAATTATTTTGAACTTGTTGAAGATGCTCGTGGCAGTGCCTAATGTGCACTTGCAGATGTCGCCGTCGTGCTGAGCTGTGCCTTGTCATTTCTTTGAATGGAAGGGTGAATTACACATGTCCAGAAGCTGGGATATTTTCCTACGTGTACAGAGGATCTCAAAAGAGTCAAGAAGCTGCTTTGATAGAAATTTGCTTCGGGGAGAGGATGGTCATTGCTCCATCTCAGCTAAATGACCAGAGTTCAGTGCAGTTAGAGATAATCCCTTTGCTATCAAATCCCGTTATTGGACGGCCTGTCAGAAAGAACAGCATGGAAATGGAGGTGCTGAGGAAGGAGAGATGAGTTAAACGAATCTGTTATGTTTTAGGCAGAGGTGAGGAGTGCTGCCCAGAGTTGGCCATTGGAAAGCAAGCTTTGTTTCTCCATGGTGCACACACTGCACTTCAGACACACTGTTAACTTCATCATCTGTCAGAAAATGCTGCATGAGAACAGGTTGTGTGCAGCACTCAGAATCATCCTCTGGTTCTTTGTCCGTTGTGCTCCTCTGACTCTTGTTATCTCATTATTAGGAATGTTGACATTCCCTTCTCCATCTTCTCAAGCTAGCAACACTAATTCTGAATTTGTTGTGTAATTCTTTTCTGTATGCTTCTGAACTTGTGGTAATTGTGACTTCTCAGCAATGTAAGATTTTTACATAGAACTCTGCGTGGGGCAAGAAAGGAAGGAGGAGGAGCTGTGATTCTTCATGTTGGTTTGGCTTTTGATTGGATGCGTTTTAGAAAAATACTTCCAGGTTGACCAAGATAATGATGCAGTCCTTTCCTTTTTACAGTTTGAAGATAAATCTGATGCAGTATTTGATATTACAGAAAAATGTAAGTATATTTCTTTATTTCTGTAAGACATAGCCCAACAAAGCAATTCTTAGAAGTACCACTGCTGACAAAAAAGCTACCTTTGCCCTTCTCCTAACCCCTGCTGCTTGTTCCCTCCCCACAGTACTTTCTGCACAAATAATACAAATGATAGGAATTAAAGTCCTTACTTTCTTGCTGTTTTTTCTCAGATCAGCTTCTGTTTCACTGTGCGGTGAGTGGGACAGAACTGTTTCTTTGTCAGCAGTATTTGATCAGTAATGTTGGTCCAAGAAGGCTTAAAGGGTTCAAGGAATTGCAACATTACACGGATTAGCAAAGGACCCTTTTACTCACTTTTGTTACACGCAAAGCTGGGAGATGCTCTGACTGTTCACAATTTTCTTTTCCCTAGGTAGTGAAATCCTGGATGCAGAAATGTCTGAGGATGCTGTGCACAACTTACCAGCCACCCTTGACAGCGTTTCTTATGAAATACAGAATCGAGCAGGATCTGAAAACTCCCTGCTGGATGATGACGACGACGATGATTATTTTCTGAACTCTGGGGATTTGGCAAGCATACCTGTTGTTGGGAGCGACAACGAAGATGATCAGAGTTTCACTCCAAAAGACACTCTCCCTGCTGAAGACCATCTGGAAGAGGGCAAGAGGGTTACAGAACACGAGCTGGACAGTGAAAAAGATATTCAGATCGAAAATGCAATCCAGAAGGATCTCACTTCACCTTTTGAGCAGGGTCCTGTATTTAAATCAATTCAAAAAGATTTTAGCATCGCAAGAGATAATGGCAAAGAGACTTTTTCGACAAAAGACAAGAATAGAGAAGTAAATCTTCAAGAACATGAAAAACGGTTGGAAAAAATCCCTAAAGATACGGATTCTAGATTGAAAAGCAGTTTTCTTGACAAAGCAGGTAACTGTTGACATCGTAGACCTGGCTGCCCAGCAAGGAGGAAGGAAGAGCTAGATGGAAATTAGCAATAGGAATAGCTAAAGGCATCATCTCGGCGAAGATAACGTGCATTGCTGTATGGAGGGAAACATTTTATCCAGAACCCCGAAATACAGCAAACTGTGTTAGGAGTAGGATGTGCAAAAGGGCCTGGCAGCATTAGGGGGTGTCTCATCAACCACAGCCTGTTTTGTAGCCTCTTCATATCCTTTGTTGGTGTGGTTTGGTAAACCCAACTGGGTGACCCCTTGAGCTTCCTTTGGTTTTGTCATCCAGCCCCCAAAGCTCCTTTAAGGAATAGATGATGACATTTTGGCTTTTGCTGGCTGGAAAGATTTTTTTGAGCAAAGTGCCAATTCTTCATTATTGCCCGTGCTTAAAGCAGCATGTTTTTCATAGTAACATCACAGGAAGGCTTGCTAGAAATATTAGTGCCTGCAGGAAGTCAGCCAGGGAGTAACTTGAGATCTGCTTTTCCTAGGAGACTGCTCTCCTTTTTCTTCTGATACTTGCGTCTTGGACTTTGTCCAGCAGCATGGAGAGAACCAAAGATGCCTGTAATGCATTTCTCATGTGAGGGAGCCTGAAAGTCACCAGCAGTCTTGCTGCCCACACACCTGGTTTTGATTTCCCACGCTCTGAAAATTACAGTAAAACAGTGAATGAGAGCGTTAAGAATAACCAGGGTGGAATGTGCAGTTTAATTTCATTCTGAAGATTGTACAGAGTGAGGGCTGGCCAACAAGTGAGAGCCTCTGACTGCTTGTCGAGACTCACAGCTTACATTTCTGACGTTTAAACTTTGTGCATACAGTAACAGCATCTTAAAATCAGTGCTTTCAGGTTCTACAAATGGTACAGAAACAATACCAATATTTTTTTTAATATCTTTTAGTATCTTTTTACTCTTGCCTTCAGCTAGAAATCTAGTAAAGAATATTTCTGTGCGAAAGACTTATTTCAGAAGATGGTAAATATCTACAGTCACAAAGTTGTAGCTGAAAGCTGTGCAGCCTCAGGTGGGGTAGCCAGTAATTGACCAGCTTTAGTGGATGCTGATGGGCAGCATCAAATAACCAGGCAAATCCAGTCTTTTTTAAAAGATAAATTGCTGAAAACCTGCCGTTTCCTGAGGAAAGGGGAAAGGCAAAAGACAATGAGAAAGGTGAAAGTTGTTTCTCTGAAAATTACTCTCTGATTTAATAGTAGAAACGTGGCAGAATTAGGAACTCAACGGGATATAGAAAGTTCAGAATGAACAATTCTGCCTCAGAATTATCGGACTGTTTTGCTGGCATAAAAAAAGAGTGGCTCAGAAGGCTAATAAAAATATCAATTCTCTTTAAGGATTACCATCTTATTTACAGGGGAGTATTTTAATGCTTCTGAAGTGCTGCCAGACTCTGGGGTTGGGGATCAGAATGAGACTAGATAGTTTGTAAGGAAATGCATTGGAATCTGTATTCATTTCTATTTAATGTATATGTTTTCCTCAGTTCATAATCAAGTAGAAGAAACATTACGGACGCAGTTAGCGCCACAAACTCCAGAAACTAACTTCAGGGTAAGCTATAGATCTTTCAAACACTTTTGCAAGTGCAGCAATATGCTGGAATAATTCAAAATACTTATGTTATATTTGAGTGTAAATTTGAGTATCAAGAAAACTGATCTTCTGACTCATAGACGTCTTTGCTACTTAAACAATCTGCATATAATTTTGTACAAATTTTGCTGACCCTCTCTTTGAATTGAGGATTCTCTTGATAGCCACTCTCATGTCCAGCATGGTCTGACTGTGACGGGTGAGTTGATTCCAGACCTGGACGCATCCATCTGACCTGTTGCCTTTTTTCCAAATGAAACAGGGAACAGCTCTATGAACAGGAGACACTGCCCAACCAACCAAGTGCCCTCACTGACAACCATCTTAGAGAGCTGGGTGGCTTCTGCTTTGTCCAGAGGAGTGAAGAGGATTGGGGGTGGGATGGCAGCGGGTGCTGCAGGGAGGTAGAGGCAGCGGCTGCTGCCCTTCGTTTCTCCCACCTTCCAGTGGCAGGACCCATTTCTTTTGGTCTGCAACAGAAACTCCCCTTGGCATCAGCCCAACTCCTCTTGGCAGATGCAGGAGGGTGAATTCTTTTTCATATTATTGTTTCAGGAGTCTAGCTACCTATTTTCTAGTAAGGAATCTATTGGACAAGAGCTGGGGAATTCCTTTGCACCAAATATTAGAATTAAGGAGGAGCCTTTGGATGACGAATATGATAAAGCTATGGCCCCACAGCAGGGACTATTAGACAAAATTAAAGATGAACCTGATAATTCTGAGGTAAGTTTCCCATTGCATTTCTCATTTTGGTCTGACAACTGACCGCATAAGCTGGACATAAGTTCAGCATTTCATTTGGTTTGTTGACCGAAATTTAACTTGAAGAACGTAGATTAGTAGAAGAATTTCTCCCTCTAATTCTACCATGGAACCCAAACCCTCAACTTTTTGATATCATGTTTCCATGTCGCTGAGTTTTTGTGCTTTTCAGCTCGAGACGAGGCAAACTGCTGTACAACTTGCATTATTAAATCTGTGGCAATATGGGCACTTCATCTCCACTAGATCTCACTAGAAAATAAGTCATGTCTCATTGAGTATTTTGTGGATTGTCACAGTTAGAGCTGCACAGTTCAAGCAGTGCTGTTCCTGCTACTTCCCTCTTTTAAGGTTGGCAGTTTAAGCACAGTGCTTCTTTGTTTTGTTTTTATAAACATTTCTAGTTAGAGGTCTTAGCTCACAAAGAACATTTAAATACATACAGCTCAGTGAGGTCAAGTGGCTTTGTCATTTCAGGCTGACATCTTGTGTGATGTTACAGTTCAGAGTTCAATAATTGCAAAATGGAGAAAGTCAGAACTGTTGAACAATGTCAGCACAAGGATTGCTGAGCCCTCCCCTCTCTGTTTGCCACTGGCTTGCAATGTTACACCAAGGAGATGATCCATGTTGCAGTTCTTGTCTCTTCAGTGCTGATATTTGGGTTGTGTACCCAACTTTACATGCACTGAAGGTGCACAAAACTTCCAAGGCAACTCATCCCACTTGTGCTGGCAGTAGTTTTGGTGTTCTAGCTCAGGCATTCGTTTTTCCAGTCTCATTCTGTGTACTTTTGCTATACCTCATCTTATTTCTGGGCCCTTCTTTTCAGCACTTTTTCTTCTCTTCCCACCGTACTGTTGGGTGAATGAAATAAAAACGTTCACTGAGTATTTGAAACTGTTAAGATTTCACTGCCCTTCTGATTTGTCCTGTTCTTGGAGATTAATATCTAACCATGTGTAGATTAGTTAAACCTGTTTCTTCTTTTGTCATCCCCAAATGGCACCTGCTGTATGGATTTGTGTGGATGTGCAAGATGCTAGTGGTTATAAAAGATGACACTAATGAGGACATTTGGAGACCTGAACGATCTGAAGTATCTTACTGATCAAAATATTAATTCCTGGGGTAAAATTCTGTAATGATCAACTTCAATACTGGAAAAGTGTGAGAACTGATGATGGTTCATTTTAGTTTGCTTTAAATCAGAAAATAATGTGTTTTACATCTCTTTTTCCTGTGCATTCTGAAAGAGGAGAGCATTCCTTGCTGCAATTGCTAGTTGGAGCTGGAAGCTCCCTGCTTCCAACAGTTACACTGCTGTGAAACTGTGCTTCACCCTGCAGAGCTGATGTTGGCATTTGCTTCAGTCTCTATTACTAGTATTAATTTTAAATGCTTAAAAATACACGTTCCTGTAAATAACTAGCTTTTAAATTGTGATATTAGAGTAAAAGCAAGCACGGTACTCTAAAACCCATCATCATGGTGCGCTCATACACAGCTTAAAACCTCTCTTCCTTGCAATGTGAATGCATGTCTGCTCGTTCAGGTGAGGAGATAAGGCTGTTCTCCTGGGAAACCTGTTGAGCAGTTGGTTGCCTTGTGCAGAAACTTGTGATTTTGCCACAGCAGCATTGACTCATGGCAGGGCTGCATGGCAGGGTGTGATTTTTCGGAGGTGGATTCAGCTGAGGGAGCAGTTTGCTGCTGCTGAAAAGTGAGAGCTTATTTTTGCCCAGTGATTTCGAATTGGCTTACCTTGCAGTCAGACAGCAACTGTTAATTTAGCTCAGTCATAATATGACATCATGGCCTCGCTATTCTCCAATGACTGTAAGTAGGTTAAATCTTATCATCCCTGTGGCTCCGTGAGATTATTCTTTTCAGCCTATTAAGATTCACATGTAGAGCATTACAAGCTGCTTTACGGTTTGAATTTCTAGGAAAAGCATGGGCAAGAGGCATGGTGTCCAAGTCTGAATAGCTGCTGTGAGGTAAGCTGGTAATTTGTAGGATGTCAGCTATTCCACAAGCAACTGTCTGCAGGGATTTTCTCATCTGTACAAAATGCAAGGTTGTTCCCCTCCACTGAAGTCAGTCTAAGTGTGGATTGCAATGGTCTGCGTGCTGCCAGCTTCGCAGCACTGCTGTGTGGAGCTCAGCTGACTGAGAAAATTAAAAAGATTACAATAAAAAGAGGGTTCGTTTTTTTCTGATTCGTCATCCCTCAATCAGGTCCGGTTCAGGATGGGGCAGAACATGGTTGTCCCAGCTGAAGATTTCTTAACATGCTCTAAAGCTTCACTTCAGGCTCCTCCCAGGTCCTTCACCTCAGGGTTAAGCACAGAGCGCTTCTCGCCAGCCAGGGCTCAGGTTCTGTTCTGTTATAGTTATCTGTGAATTGGAAAACAGAGCTGGTTTCCAAGAGTGAGGGTAAGGACTGCAGAGCACTTCTGGTTGGACAGTTTGTGTAAATGGAATGCAAATATTTATCTTAAGACGTTGATGCTGAATTCTGAGGTGCGTTGGGATACAGGTGGGGAAGGGAAGGCAGCAGGATCTGAGTTCTGCCTGATGTTCCCAGCTGTACACTTTGCTGTGAACCCCTGGGGCAGTTCTTTGTGTGCTGCTTGTATGGCAGCAGCTGTGAGCCTGGCCTTTGGGACAGGCTGAAGAGGTTCTTTCTTGCCTTCCTGGGCCTTAAGATTCAATACAGCATTCCAGAAGAATGGAAATCATGCAACCTGTTATTACATGTGTGTATTTGTTCTCCTTTTCCTTTCCTTTTGTTTCAGGAGTACGGCCAACAGCCAAAAACTCAGGAAGGGGAGCTGAAAATCAGTGCTGTGTTTTCAGTCAGTGGCAGTCCTCTTGGTAAGGAACTGGCAAGACTTGACTTGATTTAAGTCTATAAAATGGCATCACCTCAGCAAATAGCCTCACAGTTTATTCTGTGAGAATAAATTTTGTTTATTTAATATATATTATTTGTATAACTCCAGTATTAAAAAGAAAAAAAAATTGTTTTGTTTTAGAGATGATGAAAATCACAGACTGAAAAATAATTGCATCTTTGAGGCAAGGGAGAACTGAACGTGAAAGCAGTGTTAAAAGTGCATTCTTATTCTTAAGAGCAGTTGAAACAATCCACTCTGCAGAAAACCAGCACAGGGCACGTATTGTAGAGAGTTCCCTTGCTGTTTGCTTCTCCCTTAGAGCCTGACGATCCCAAAGAAGCCATAAGCTTTATGCTTGCTCCCTGTGCATAAGTAAATTATGTGTAATATGTAGCTTAACAGCTACTCTGTTTTCTCTCTCTCTCTTTCTTTTCATTTTAGCTCCACAGCTGTCATCAGGTTTCCAGCCTGCTGTGGCATCCTCTGGCATGAGTAAAATGCTTCCTTCAGTTCCAGGCACAGCTGTTCGGGTTTCCTGTTCTGGCTGTAAAAAAATCCTCCAGAAGGGGCAGACTGCATACCAGAGGAAAGGCTCTACCCAGCTCTTCTGCTCCACACTGTGCCTCACTGGATACACTGTTCCAGCTTGTCGCCCACCAGCTTCTACCAAGAAAACCTGCTCCAGCTGCTCGAAGTAGGACAGCCTTTTAAATTGTTTGAGAGTAATTGTTGCTCAAGCAGATGATGGGAAGGTTTCAGTTTTCATCTTGTTCTGTTGGGTTTTCATGCTGTTCTGTAATGCCCACTTCACGCTTCCCTTCTGTAAATGATGGTGTGATTTGTTAATTGATCTGTCTGCTTTCAGTTCCATTTAGTTCATTGTGTTTTGCATACAGGTGCATTTAAAAGCCTCTGTTGTGAAGTGTACCTTTTGTATTTTTGCCACGTAAAAGATGGAAACATGGAACATAGAAAACATGGATTCCATGTTTTCTAACACATACTACCTGTGTTGGAAAAGGGACTTCACTTCCCTCCTGTTCTGAGATGTCATTGCACTCCAAACAGCTAACAGATACTTTAAGAAAATATTTATTGTTTCCTCTTGGTGAAAATAAATTTACTGATGCCTACTAATGAAGTAAAACACAGATAAATTAATGTGTTCTGCACAAGGCAGACCCTTAGATTCTATTAAAAAAAAAGAAAAAGCTTTCCAGTCTGGCTCCATTCTGTGAGCTCAGATTTGCATAGGTGTGAGTTCTTGAGTTCTTCAAAATATGTTACTGCTGCTATTACATCATTGTGGTCAAACCTTCATAAGATTACAGAGATTAAGCATATCAAGAATTGAGTGTTTCGAAGAGTTGGGGCTTCAGTATTCAATCAGTTGCTTTCTGCATAGAGCCTGCTTCAAAAAAAAACACTTTAGGATAGAAGATCAGCGTTTTCCACTGGCCTGCTGGGAACACCAGGGTGAATCTTCAGCTCTAAGAAACATTTCAGTTCTTCATATTCTGTTTTAGTTTGTATTATTATCTCCAAATTAGCAGAAGGATGCATCTGTGGCCAGCTCTTAGAGCTGTCACTGCTGTTCAGGAGCTTGAGGCAAGTCAGTAACTGCACAGACTGATTGTTCTGGGCTCTCTTTACAGAGGACAGTGATTCATATGAATTATTTGTAGTTATGAAAGTTACTTTGCAAAGTGAATGCTGCTTTGTTCATGCATCGTTTCTTAACAATAGATTTATTGCTTCCTGTTTTACAAGGTCAACTGAACTTCAGCTTGAGACTTCAGTTAATTATTCCTCTTTCTTGCTCTCTTGGTGTAAAAAGACCTTGTAACAGTCTTGGCTGTAATTTGTATTTATTAAGATGGAAAATGGTTTATATCTGAAAAGACAAGAAAGAAGGAGGCGTCCCTCCATCCTAGAAAGGAATATAAAGATTTCTTCCCAATTTATACACTCATTGAAAATGTTCTGTGAATGACAGTTTCAAAAGAGAGACTTAAATAGTTTATTAAATCCAATGGCAGAGAGAACAGTAGGTTGGAGATTAAAGAGGAAAATAATTGTCAGACCATTTGGGGTACAACTAAATGGGAATTAGAAATCCTCACCTTTTGTTTTTCCCCCTTTTTTTCCTTATCCCATGATTATTGATATTTTCACTGTTAAAGGGAATTCATCCCCATATCCTGCTTTAAAAAATGGTTTAGTAAGTACTGTGCAAAACCTCCCAGTTCCATCTGAAAGGATTAATTATGCAACCTGATGTCTTTGTAGGCCACTCTCAAGACGAGGTACAAAATGTTTCCCAGTGTATTTACTTGAGAATTGCACCCCACTGCTTTACTAATGGGAAAAGAAAAATGAAGATAGAAGAAAATCTCTGAATTAAATAAATCCACCATCTTACAGAAAATGTTTAGTCTGCCAAAGTGGGAAGGAAAGCGAGTTGCCATGAAACCAGTGTTTAATCTCTGGGCTTGTTTTTCTTTTTTTTCCTGTAGAGAAATTCTAAATCCAAAGGATGTAATCACTGCCCAGTTTGACAATACGAATTCCAGCAAGGATTTCTGCAGCCAGTCGTGTCTTTCTACGTATGAAATGAAAAGGAAACCTATTATTACTATTCACACTAACAGCATTTCAACCAAGTGCAGCATGTGCCAGAAGAATGCAGTGGTAATGGCAAACTTCTTTTCCGTTTAAGCTTCCTTTAAATCAGGGAACTTGCATTTCCTTTCTGTTCTTGTTAATATCCTTTCTTCTCTTCCAGATCAGACATGAAGTGAATTACCAGAACGTTGTACACAAGCTTTGCAGTGATGCCTGCTTCTCCAAGTTCCGCTCTGCCAATAACTTGACCATGAACTGCTGTGAGAACTGTGGAGGTTACTGCTACAGTGGGTCTGGGCAGTGTCGCATGCTGCTGATAGAGGGACAGTCAAAAAAGTTCTGCAGTTCGACATGTGTGACACTATACAAGCAGGTATATTTTGACACGGTGTTAGAAGAACATCTTTGGTAGGTTTTGGTTTATTAGCTGATGGTTTCTGTTGCTTTCATAGTCTTAAGATGCTTCCTTTGGCATTTGCTGCTTAGTTTTCGCTAGAAATGTTGCTCTGTTTCCTTTACCACTGCAAAGACAAGCTGAGTATTCCAGTGTGAGAGAAGACACAGTGGGACCACTTGGCAGCAGTCTGCTGTGGCACATTTGGGCCATCCTCTGAGGAGCTAACCATCATCTGACAAAGCACACAAACCTCACGAGCAAAGCCCTTTTGGCAGCCTTTGGGATTGCTCTGAGCGTTCTGTGCTGTGACAGCAGTGGTGCAGTTTCACACCAGCTGCCTGAGAATTCTTAACAGTCAAGAGCAATTTAACTGTAGGGTATCTTACACTACGACACATCCTTCCTGACACTGAAAAAGAGGTTATTTCTGAAATTATGTCTTTCTAAACACCTTGTCTCAGGCATGCTCTACAGCTTTATGGTCTTGGGTACCTTAAGTAACAGAAAAACACGAGAGAGCACTTCGTTTTTGACCCAATTCAGCTGTGAAAATTGTAGCATTTGAACTAAGTGGAAAAGTGGTAATTAGCTGATCATTTTAATTGTCATTTTTAACTTCTTTAATATTTTAATTTTGATTTTAATGGTGTTGGGTTATGAAAAATACTAAGCTTCAGATGCATGACCAGTTTTACTGTTTCCACAGAAGTCAGCTAAAATTACACCCTGTGCACTGTGTAAATCCTTGAGATCTTCAGCTGAGATGATAGAGAGCACAAATAACTCGGGAAAAACTGAGCTGTTTTGCTCTGTTAACTGCTTGTCAGCATACAGAGTAAAAATGGTTACTTCGTCAGGTAACTTTATTCCTTTATTCTGTTACAGACATAATTTCACAGGGCTTCAATCCAAACTTGGTCTTGAAAGTTAAGGCTGATGTTCTTTTCTGGGGTGTAGAAAGCAGTGTTTGTTTTGAGGGAAGGTGCTGAGATGGGAGCGTAAGGATTTTGTAACGTAAATAAACCTAACGGTGACAGTGTAGCCATTTCAGCTTTGTTTATAGAGATCTGAGAGATGGTAACAAACCTTAATGTATTTTCTGCTGGTGTAAGTGAAGGCCAAGGAGTCGGGGGGGGGAGGGTTCTAGTGTCCTAGGGGTACTGTGAGAATAATGAAAGGATCTGGCAAACAGCAGCCACTGCAGCTGTGGTGTCTGCTTCTGTCTTGTGCCTTAGCGTGCACTTTGTCTTGTCATGCAGAACCTCTGGGTTTGTATGCATGGTGCAAAACTACCTGCAGGGGGACTCGATGTTGAATAAATCACTTTTTCTTCTCTGTTTCACTCTCAGGTGTTCAAGTTCAGTGCAACAGCTGTAAAACTTCAGCCAACCCTCAGTATCACTTGGCTATGTCAGATGGGAGCGTACGCAATTTCTGCAGCTACAACTGTGTGGTAGCTTTTCAGGTGTGATATCTGGGATTTCTTCTTAGCTCGATTAATAGAGTAATAAATCAAATACCTGGGGTGTCGGGTAAAATACACAGCTGTAAAATAAGGCTCTTGTTTTTGCTCTTCTGCAGAATTTGTTCAACAAACCTGCAGGAGTGAACTCTTCAGTCGTACCCCTGTCTCAAGGTCAAGTCATCGTAAGCATTCCCTCGGGGACAACGGTGTCAGCAGGTGGCACCACCTCCACTGCATCTCCCAGCTCTGGGAGCAGTTCAGCTGCAGCTGGTCTACAGAGGCTGGCTGCCCAGTCCCAGCAAGTCACTTTTGCCCGCAAGGTTGTAAAACTCTGGTGTCAGCACTGTAACAGATTATTTGCAACCAAGCCAGAACTGCTTGACTTCAAGGTAATAAAGACCAGGACTTCTCTGGCTTGTCTCTCTCGATCAGACAGCTCAGAAATTATAACCTCTATGGCTGTGGTCTGTTGGTGCTGCTCTGTTGTTTGCTGTGATCTGCTGTGGGGGAATTTGGAACCGATTTTATTATCATTCAATCGTTATCAAAATTAATACTGAAAAACAGAAAACAACTGAAAAACAGAAACCCCACACTCAAACCATTACGTGTCGAAATAAGCACATTCCTGATCCTTCATCCCAGAGATGATCTTTTAATTCCTGCACAAAGCACGTGGGTGAGGACTCGTGGCAGAAAATTCTGCTGTCTTTGCTGAAAATCTATTTGGACTTACTTTGCTGGTGCTGTCTGTTGATGATTTTTCAAGTGCATAAATATGCTGAGTTCTTACGATTTAAATGTCGTAACTGGATATGAAATATTGAAACCAAAACATTCTGACTGTGTCGCAGGGTAAAATGTTCCAGTTTTGTGGGAAGACCTGCTGTGATGAATATAAGAAGAGGAGGAGTGTAACAGCACTGTGTGAATACTGCAGAACTGAGAAAATTATCAAGGAGACGGTGCGAATCGCGGGCATAGATAAGCCATTCTGCAGTGAAGGTAAGAAAGAGCAAGGCTGTCTCTCAGAGAAATGAAGTTAGAAGAGTCTTGCCTTAAAATTATTTGTGATACTAAGGGAAACCTAATAAACCAGGTCAGAAAAATGTATTTTAGGCTTAGAAACCTGGAACTTCATTCACACTGTAATGCCGTATTTCAACAAATGAACCAGAAATGCCAAAGACACAACAGTTTGATATTGAAGGATGCTTTTGTTATTCTGCTGTTTTTCCTTCTCTTAGGTTGCAAACTGCTCTATAAACATGACTTGGCTAAGCGCTGGGGAAACCACTGTAAAATGTGCAGCTACTGTTTGCAGACCTCCCCCAAACTGGTCCAGAATCTCTTTGGGGGGAGAATGGAAGAATTCTGCTCAGAAGAGTGCATGTCTAAATTCACAGTTTTGTTTTACCAGGTAAATAATAATGTCATATTCTCTATAGCACAAAAGTGTTAGTGGAACTTCTGAAAGTTAGGAGCTGTGTTAAATGCCTGTGGTTGACCTCCGTGTCCCTGGAAGGTGTTACATACACATATGAGAGATGAGGAAATCCTTCTCAGCTTTGGAGTGGCAGTTTCACAAATAAAGAAAACCTGATATGTCTCTGGGGGGGGAGGGAACCTGAGTGTCCTGCTGCTTTGTGTCACACTGATGCACTCTTAAAGATTTATTTACACCGTGTTTGCTGAGCGTGTTGTGAAGAGGTTGGTTTGCATACACGCTTTGTTGCCTTTAACACACACGTTTAATTTCTCTCTCTCTGTTGTCCCAGATGGCAAAGTGTGATGGTTGTAAGAGACAAGGTAAACTGAGCGAGTCTCTGAAATGGCAAGGAGATGTGAAACATTTTTGCAATCTGCTTTGTATTCTGATGTTCTGTAAGCAGCAACGTACTTCTGACCTTCCAGCCTCAAACAACACAGGTAAAACGGGATGTGGCCAGCATTACCTCTTAATGTGTGTGATAATGATAGGAATGTTTCTTTGGAAAATCCATTTAGTGAATTTTTACAGCCCTCTATTGGGGTGCTTGTCCATTGTAATTGAATGGGCTCAGTTTAAGATATGTCTTTTACTTCAGGAAGTTTCAAACTTCCATAGGTATGAAATGATGTTGTTCATGAAGCAAACCTGTATTTTGATTTTTGGTATTAAACATAAGCACTTACTTTTTATCTGCTTTCCTAAAAAAGGAAGCCCATTTCAATAGGCTGAAATGTACTGATATCTGTTGAAGGCATGATAAATACTCAGCTTCCTGTACTTGGTAAGGCAGAGATAAAGGAGAATGTTAATGTTCATTTAACAAGGAAAGTCAAGCGGATAAGTGCTTAGGTTTAGTGGCTGTAAATGTTTGTTTTGATGTACGACTTGTTGCTGGTTCTGTGTTGTCAGTAGGCGTTGAAGACTTGCATTTTCTGTGTCATTAAGTGTTGATTCTTCGAGTATCAGTTCTGAGGTTAATGTATGCTGTAGCTGTTTTGTTGCTCATTATTTCAGCAGGTGGAATGGGGAGGAGGGTGGGAGTGAAGCCCACAGGAATAGGAACTGTGAGTTTCTGTAGGGAATGAAATGCAAAGGGAAGAAAGGAAGAAAGGCGCACAAAGACAGGAAGAGGAAGCGAAACAAAGGGCAGAAATAGCACTGATCCTAAAGAGGGGCATGTTCTCCCAGAGAGTGATGGTGACTGCAACAGTAAGGTACCCATTAAGCAATAAAGAATATTAACTGACAGTTTATAGTATGCACCAGGCCATACTATATTGAGTTCTGTGCTCCTGCTTCGCTTGGTGGGGATTGTTTTCTTTGACTAAGAGTAATATAAAAGTAACTTTTTGCCTTCAGGCCGTAATTAGACTGTGTGACACTCCTGATTTTTATCAGTATGCTTGGCTGTTAGCAAGGAAGTGGCTGAGAACAGTATTTGTCACGAAATGCAATCGTGATGCTTTTAAGTAGGAAGAACCTAAAAGTTCCTCTGCAAGAGTGTCGTAAAATCCACCCCATTCATCATTTGTTAGGATCTTGAGGATGGTGCTGAGCACAGTGGGACACCTGCTTCTGTTGTCTGCTCAGTGCTGCTCTAAGAGACGTGCTACTAGAGACAGAAAACTGCTTTCATACTGTGATAAACTTCTGAAAAGCCTCAGTGAATTGAAAACAGCTGAAGTTTGCTTATGGATCCAACTTCTATTTGAGCTGGAATCCTCCAGTTTGACACACTCTCCTCATAAAGCAGGCTTTTTCATCTGGAGATAAATCCGGAGGGTGGATGTTGTTTCAGAAACGCCGTTGTGTCTCCCATCATATTGCTTACTGCTGTTTTCTTCTGTTCGTTCCATCCAGCAAACCCTTCTACAGCACCAGCTTCCTCGTCAGGCCCTCCTTCTTTGAGGAAGGACTCAACCCCAGTCATAGCAAATGTGGTGTCCCTTGCGAGCACCCCTGCTGCCCAGCCTACGGTTAACTCCAACAATGTTTTACAGGGTAGGACTGTTACAGTTGATTTCTCTATTTTTAAATCTCTATTCCTGCATATTTGTATTTGTTCAGGGGTCTTTTCCACTGAGGACAACGGCTTCTTCATTATGCTTCGTGTCTTTGCTGAGGGTTGCTGTCTTGTCTCTCCTTTACCTACATGTAAATACTGACGTAGGTCTGTTCACTTGCAGTGGGGAATGAGGTTAAAGGAAATTCTTTTTCCCCACCTGGCAGAGTGTGGGCTGTGGTCCTTGATAAGTGCACAGACTAATCCTGTGTGTTGCTTTTTTTTATCCACAGGAGCAGTCCCTACAGTGACAGCAAAAATAATAGGAGATGTAAGTTTTACAAGAGACTATTTTTCTCACTTTCGTCCAGATTGTATCAATAACAAGTAAAGTATCCAATATTTAGCACCTTAATTTTGTAACTATTTTTCCTGGTTCTGACTGACATTTAAGATTCATCCAGCTTGCAGTTACACACCTTATCCATTTTTAAAAATGTGTGATGTAGAAGTTCTCATGTGTACAGTGACGGGTTGATTTGATGGCTTGGCAAGGCTTATCAGACTGTGGCTCTTGAGATGGCAGCAGCTCTCAAGCACTTTGTGCATGGCTTTTGTACTGAAGGCTAATTTTTGTGGCCAGAGGTGGGATGTGATGTCAGGAGGGCTGCTGTGGAAGAAGGAAACCAGCATGGGCTGCTGGGACTGATGTTATCCACCTCTTGCAGCTTAGCTGTTCTTCCCCACTCCTTTGTAGTGTGGTAGTGAAGCTATGGGGAACGGCTGTCACTTCTTATATGTGACTAACTCCTAGAGTTCCTGTTCTTGGGCTCTTTGAGGTAGGTGGTGTACATCTTGGAACTCTCTTAAATTAGGAAGATTTTGTTAGGTAGCTTGTTGTTTCTGGGAGATTGGCATCCTTCCTTCTATCTGGAGGGTAATTTATGGATTAGAGTATCATTTTTTTGTAATGAAACAGATCGTGTTGTATGAACGCATGACTGGAAATCACTGTTGGCAGAGCACAAAATTAATGCAAGCATAAAAAGTCAGTCTGTGTATAATTAGGAAGTGATACTGCCAGCGTTTGTGTTCCATTTTTTTCTATTCCTTTGCAGTGATTTCACATTGATTTACTGAAGGTTTTTTGAGTATATGTATCAGCCAGTATTTTTGTCATCAGGAGTATCTTAAGTGCTGATCTTAAAATTCTACTGCTGATAAAAAAGAAGTTTATAGAGGTTTGACTACAGAAACCAAATACCCTCTGAGATCTGTTTTTTGCTTTGCAGTAAAATAAGTTGATGTGAAGTGCAGAAAACACCAAATGGATCACACCAAAAAAACACCAAATAGCAAGCTATTTAATGGGAGCTTGTAAATTTAGTTAATAAAGACAGTTTGAAATTGTTCAACATTTCCTAGCAGAGGACAAGTATGAATCTTACAATATCATACTGCAACCAATGCTGACTGTGCCCTCATTTATATTTTTCCAAACAGGCAAGCACTCAGACAGATGCCCTGAAACTGCCATCTTCACAGCCACCTAGGCTTCTGAAAAACAAAGCATTGTTGTGCAAGCCAATCACACAGACTAAGGCCACCTCATGCAAACCTCATACACAAAATAAAGAATGCCAGACAGGTATGTGTTTAATCTCCAACCCATTTTATAGAAGCCTGTAGTGCAGTCAGCGTGTGTGATTTATGCAACAGACTTAGTAGTCTTTTCCTACGGTCTTGTAATTAGCTGTGAGATGACTGTAATAGCATTTATTTGGCTGCAGACCATAGCATTTATTTCCTCTCCCTTCCTTTCCACCATTCATGTATTTGGTCACTGTGCTGCTTATTTCCAAACTGTTCTGTCACTGTTTGTTCCAGCAGTGCTGACGTGCGAGATGACTGTGAGCAAAGATGTGCTGTGCCCATTGAGTGACAAGCAGAAGTCACTACTAGTGGAACACCAAGCAGTTGTGGTGGACACTCTGAAGTGTGTGAGGGTCTCATGGTCACACAATTTTTGTTTTGTTTTTAATGTAACAGAGGAAGAAGAAGTTCAACCCAAAATCATTGTGGTACCTGTTCCTGTACCAGTGTTTGTGCCAGTACCCCTCCACCTCTACACACAGTACACACCAGTTCCACTTGGGATGCCAGTACCTGTAAGTTATGCTCACGTTCACTGAAGAACTGGTTTGCAGTTTTGGTTTTGATTAAGAGCTGTGTGACTGGGCTTTCTGATTAGACACATGAGTGGTATTTGGAGTCTGTGAAGCCATTTCCTTATCACCTACTTAGCTTCATTATGTCAAAACACCAATTCATAGGGTAATTGCAGAGATGACAAGGGCTTTTTTGTCCTGGAGTTATTTAAAATTACGTGTAGTTCTAAAAGTGTGTAAGTAAGATTAAATAAGTAGAATCTCCCTTGTGTGTTTGCTGCTTCCCTTCATCCCAAACAATCTCTAATAATTTCTGCATGTCTGTGTAGGTACCAGTTCCCATGCCTTTCCCAACTACTTTGGATAATGCTGATAAGATCCTTGAAACAATTCAGGATATCAAAGAGAAGATTCCCATAAGTCCATTTGAAGCAGATCTCCTTCAGATGGCAGAAATGATTGCAGAAGATGAGGAGAAAGACAAAACACACTCTCATGGTGGTATGTGGTGCTTTTAAAAGGGAACTAAATGCAGTGAGATAGAGGGGTCCTCTCCTCATGGTAAATAGGCAGAGAAATGGGTGTGTAGCCTCTGTTATCTGCAGAGCTTTATGTGTCTTTGCATTCCTTTTCCTCAATCCTAGGTGCTGATTTAACTTACGTTGGCAGTAACAGGTTGCTAGTGGAAGTAATCTCCAGACCAGTACATCATGCACTGGCAGGAGACAAAATCAAGAAGGCAGAGCAGCTGCTTTTCAAGAATATTTTCCTGTCAGGCTTGTTATGGTGGATTCCTGAAGGGTGATGTGGGTTAGAATGTGTTGGAAAGCAGTCATACTATGCAACAGAAGTGGAGCAAGCTGAAAAGAAATGAACAAAATACTGCATTTGCCTGCAGATGACTGCCAGTGACAAATATGGAGGGATGAAAATAGAACATGGGTTAATTCTTTTTCTCCCATAACAGCGTGAGCTAGGAGAGAGCTGTGATAAAACTGTTGTGGGGGGTAAGGTGTGGAAGCACTGTGACCTCATACATGTATTTTTTTGGCATTCACAATAGTGTATTAGTTGTGTAGGCTGTAAATCATTTGTAGATGAAAGTTTCCTTCTTTCTCTAAAGGCTCTCAAACATCTGAGCATGAGCTCTTCCTGGACCCCAAGATGTTTGAGAAAGGTCAGTTTGACTTTTTCTTGCAAAGGGACTTTGATCCAGACATATCTTCAAAGCCTCCTTTTTGTCTGTCCTTTCCTGTAGCACGTGGTATATCTGATTGCTCTCATTACAGACCAAGGTAGCACTTACAGTGGAGATCTAGAATCAGAAGCAGTATCCACTCCACACAGCTGGGAAGAAGAGTTGAATCACTATGCCTTACGATCAAACGCCCTGCCAGAACCAGATCCAGAACCCAAGCAGATCTCCAAAGGTGAAGTGGAACAGGACCTGGAGGCAGATTTTCCATCAGGTCTGTATAACACTAAGAAAAATACACACAGCTTTGAGTCAACGTTGTCTGCTTAAGAGGGGGTTTATGTTTTCATTCAGTTAAACTGGATATTGAAAGCAGAAGCAATATGTCAGCTCTACTAAAATTTACTGTGTTTTTAAAATATTATTGCTATCTTTACAGACAGCATCTTACAGAACCACTGTTGAGAGTAGCACGTATTCTTGCCTGACTCTCTTCAATGTATCAGTTTTGTTCCTAGCTGTAATCCATGTTAGTGGTGCAAAAGAATATCAGTTCATCTGGATGAATGCAGCCACTGTTTGGGGGTGGGGCTTTTTCTTCTGAGTGCATTTATTGCCCAGTTGTTCAGTCATAAAGTATTACATGAATATACAGATGTAATTGGAGTTGCTGGGGTACTTAGTATTTTATGTGACGCTTCTTCTCAGGCTTGTTAAATCATATAATTTAAATTCTTAATGGTGTTGATTTGACTTCAGACTCATTTGACCCTCTCAGTAAGGGACTGGGTTTGCATTCGCGTTCACGAGCAAGACGGAGGCACAGAGATGGCTTCCCCCAGCCAAAAAGACGGGTAAGAAAGTCCTCTGGAGTGTTAATGCCTTGCACTTACAGCAGTAATGCTAGATGAACCCCTGGAAGTACAAACAAAGTATTGAGCCAGGGTGGAAGTGAGAATTCAGTTTAGCTACACGGCGTTTTTTCCTGTTCTTCATGATAAATACTTTCTTCTCTTCCCTGCATGTTAAAAAATGCGTGTGTATACCTTCACCTCCTCTCATGGGAGTAGCATTTTGTTACCATGTCAGTTTATTGCTCTCTTTATACGAGGTGAAGTGAAGCATCCATGGATGAAGTGCTTGCTAAGCTTTTATTTGCTTTACTTGCTTTGTTTTCCTGTAGGGACGAAAGAAGTCTGTAGTTGCTGCAGAGCCCCGCAATCTGATGCAGGGCTCCTACCCAGGATGCTCTGTTTCTGGGATGACCCTGAAGTACATGTATGGGGTGAATGCCTGGAAGAACTGGGTCCAATGGAAAAATGCACAGGAGGAACAAGGGGACCTGAAGTTTTCAGGTAAACAGGAATAATTGGCTGAATAACTCGGTATAATATGTTTGTCAAGACAAAATTCAGTTTTAAAATAGCCATAAGTAGACAAAAGTTTTCAGAGCATCTTGCATTTAAAAATCTCAGCCATTGCTTTCTTAGTTGATCCATTACCTTTCAAAGCAGGCTCTGAAATACCAGATTTCAACACGAAATGTTGGTCTTTTAACCTCACGTGTGTGTTCGTTTGCATGCACTAATTCTTCACTTCTAGAACAGCTGTTCTATGCAGCTGCAAAGCCCTTACTAAGCTGTTAGTAGACCACACTTACAAGCTGACTACACAGACTTGGCCCTGTCTTTCCATCTGTAGCTCATACATTCACAAAGTATTTGTCAGCATCGGTGTTTGCTGTAAAAAGCTGTGCACCACAGTGTTCTTTCTGAGCTGCTGGAAACAAACCTTCCACAAGTGCACCCATTCTGTGCTGCACTCTGCCTGAAAGTACCTTTAAAAGGTATGAATTGTTCCTTGGGTCTCACTGGGGTGATAGATAATAATGACAATATAAATGTCACTTCTGCTTGTTTTTCTAATTATGGATGTTTTTTGGGTTTTAGTTCTTGTACAAAAGCACAGCCCCGCTCCTGGGGTTTGGCACTGTCTGACTCCCCTTTTCCCTGGTCTCAAGTCTGTCTTACATGCTCACACTGAATGTTTTGTGGGCAAGTTTTCAGAATGCAGCAGAGAATTTGATTTAGTTTTGTAACTGAGCTTTTTGAGGACAGTGGGGAAGAGAACAGGCAGTATTAAATGCTTCTGCAGTGCATAGATGTAGGTGTGGCAGAGCTTATATAAGAAAGATCCCAAAAGGGAAAATGCTGTTTAGAATGAGCTCTGCTTTCTCCTCTGTCATTACACGAGAGCAGCTGTTTTTTGTTTTAATCACATGAATGGTGGGCTTTTCTCATAGCTAAGAAAACAAAGGTTCCCAACAGCTCCAGGAAACGATAGCAATCCCCACAGCAAGGTTCCCTGCTCAGCCCCAGGCAGTCGCTCAGCAGTGTGGAGTGGCCAAGCAGTCATTTCACTGCAGGTTCTTTGATGGATTCTCTGTGCTGCTTCATTTTCTGAATCTCACAGCCCTGTAAATTCTCCATTCCTTTTCCCTTTAAGGAGTCGAATTCTCTGTGCTCAGCTCGTGCCCAGAACTACTAGGAAATATTCAGGATCCTTTTCTCACTCAAGGTTCCCCTGAGTCCAGCTGTGAAGGATTTGCCAACCCTGCTATGCCAGCCCAAGTGCAGTTACCATTGCTGCACCAGATCTTGGATGCAGTGAACCCCCTGGTGTTTAAGTGTAAAGATTTAATCTCTGGAATAAAGATATTTCTTTAATCGTGTTCCTCACCGCAGTTCGTCCTGTGAAGCTCAAGGAGGACATTCTCTCGTGCACTTTTGCTGAGCTGAGCTTTGGCCTGTGCCAATTTATTCAAGAGGTGCGGAGACCGAACGGAGAAAAATACGATCCTGACAGCATCTTATACTTGTGCCTTGGAATTCAGCAGGTAAACCACAATCAGGGTGCTGCAGAGAGCATACAAACTTGTAGTGGCCTTCTAGGCTTCGTACCCATAGTCTCAAGTAGCTGCTTGTTTTTTGTAGAGGTGAGAACGTATCTTTTTGTGCTTCTTTCTTAGTGTGGCTTAATCTCTTACTCTACTAATTTGTTTTTTGATCAGAGTAAACAAACCTCTTCTGTACTTGGGAGGAATGTGACGTGGAGGGCTTGACACAAATCTGTAGGTTTGGGACTGTATTTACCCCTTTAATGTATAGGAAAGAATTGTAGTAACCTGAGGTTCCTCAGAAGAATTTGATTTGTGGTTGAATGCTGTAGATCTAAAATAGCTGCACAGTGCTCTTCTGAGATGTGAGTTTACATGGAAGAGATTGCCTGGCAAAGGCTGTGCTCATTCCCTAGCTCTATTTCAGCAGCTCAATCTGCTGGGCTGCTTTTTCAAGAATATTTTAATACCTAGAGGATGGTGATTTTTTGCAGAAGAGAGCTCTAGAGCTGGGAATAATGAAAATGATTCTGGCCTAGATCTCTCATTTCATACCAAGGAAATCCCAGTCCGTGCAGAAAATCTGATGTGGTATCTTACTGAAGATTTCATTTTGGACCATAAGACACTCAGACGTAGGAAGGGTGAAGCATCTGATGTCCTGTATCTCTGCAATGTTGTGTATTCATAAATTACATGTCTTCCTTTTTTTCTCTCGTAGTACCTGTTTGAGAATGGTAGAATAGATAACATTTTTACCGAGCCCTATTCCAGGTTTATGATTGAACTTACAAAACTTTTGAAAATCTGGGAACCTACAATTCTTCCAAATGGTAGGACAATTATTTTATTTCGTGTAGCTGCATGACAAAGCCTTATTATGAGTATTTTTCTCAGTGCCATGAAGAAGGGTGTGATCTGAGGCATTCACATTAGTCTCCTCTTTCTCCACCATGCAGTTGTTTGTGGTAGACTAGAATCATGGATTGTGTGTCTGTCTCTACCAGTTATGGGTTTCACTTAAAGATTCCTTTCCCTCCTTTGATCGATCTCTCAGCCCCTTTAAAGGCTTCCCACTCCTGCAGTCAGTGTGCTGGTTCTCTTTGCTCAAGTTTGAGCTGATCTTTTTGAATGCAGAATTGTGTGCAGTGTTTGAGATGAGTTGCTTGGAGTGGAGCTGCAGAAGTGTTTCCACATCAGTACTGGAAATACTTCTGATCAATCAGGATCGTCTGAGGAGATCCTTGGAGCCTTGTCTCAACTCCTTGGCTCCAAGTTCTTCTCACCTCAATCGCATTAAGAGTTCCCCAATCCTGCAGATATCATTAATTGTCCTTGAAGGATATTCATGCAGTTTATGAAGGTGGTCAGAAGCAATATGAAGATGTAAGATCTTTTTTTCAGATTGCCACCAAAACATGAGTGATACCAACAGCTCCATAGATGGATCTGAAACTGGCTTTTTGTTTACAACTCCCTGTTGGTGCAGAAATAACCCAATTACTTATAGGCAGCTGTGTACAGTGGAGTTTTCTTGCAGAACAAATCTTTCATCAGCCTCAATTTCTCCTTCCTAACTTAGGATGATAAAACTGGGTGATCTGTGTATAGAGATGGGGTATTTTAAACCCGTGCTCCATGTCCCAGGAGCTGGATGTTCCTGCAGTCAGCTGATTTAATGCAATTAAAACTGAGCGAGGTTCTGCTGATGTCTGTAATCTTCCTTTGTATGCCTTTGTCCATTCATCAGGTGTTGAAGATGGTGCTGTTCCACAGCTTGGCTCTCCACACTCCCTCTATGTCCTTGCATGCAGTGCTCTTGGTTTTATGTTGCAGTTACCTGTGATAGATCTGATTTTGTTGGAATGCACAGTTGGTTCATGTACAAAGTTAGCTGGAAGAAGACTTAATTCATCTCTGACAGAATCTGCCAATGTAATTTTACTCATTTCTGTGTCCTGCTCTGCTCATGTATGAGGGTTTGCTTTGGGAAGATAGGGAAAATCTCTTAGATGGCCAGCAGCCTGTAAAAGCCATTACATTCCTTTGTAACTGAGCATGAGGAGCTGTCCTAAAATTACACAGGTGACACTTCTTCTTTCTCTGCACATTGTTTCTAGGTTATATGTTCTCAAGAATAGAAGAGGAACACTTGTGGGAGTGTAAGCAACTGGGTGCATATTCCCCCATAGTTTTACTGAACACGCTGCTATTCTTCAACACCAAATACTTTCAACTAAAGAATGTCAGTGAGCACCTGAAGCTGTCCTTTGCCCACGTCATGAGGAGGACCAGGACCCTGAAGTACAATACTAAGACAACATATTTACGTTTTTTCCCACCCTTTCAAAAACAAGAGGTAGAATCAGGTGAGTGGATGCTTTGTGATCACTTCAGTTTCTGCAATCATGTTTCTATGATCTCCTCCTCATTTGAAAAGGGCAGGGGAGAAAAGCATAGAATAAGCAGAGCCGTGGGTAGTTTGGTTTCTGCTGTTATCTTGCACTTTTTCCTTCACTCTGGGATGATTTAAAGAGAAACAGTTTGAAGGCAGCCACCTCAAGCAATGTGTTTCGAGGTGTTGCAGAGTCCAGTCAGGCTGGTGCTGAGCTCTGTGTAACCTTCCATGTGCTGCTCTTCTCTGAACTCGAGCGATGCCATTTTTGTGTGTCCAGATAAACTGTCTGTAGGCAAAAGGAAACGTGGAGAAGATGAGGAGATTTCAACAGCAGTGGAAATGGCTGAAAATGCAGATAACCCCCTGAGGTGTCCGGTGCGACTCTATGAATTTTACTTGTCAAAATGGTAAGTGATAGAACTTCACCTTTGATCTGCACCTAGATCAGAACAGGAATTCAGGCAGTGACTCTCCTCAGACATCTTGTTCTTTGTGAAAGAGGGTAGGAAAAGTGTCATTTAGGCAAAAGTGGTGATGGCTCTTGCTTGCTGAGATGTGAGATTAATTTTTATTTAGCAGTTAGAGACCAGCAAGGACACAGACACAAATCATTTTGCCTTTCCTGCTTGGTATCAACTTTAGGTAGATCTGAGAGCAGGTGGGGCGTGGTGTCCCTCAAAGAAAAGACACCAACAGAATGGAACAGGATCTCACTGGTGTCAGCTGCAACTCAAATAAATCACCCTCCAAAATGCACCTGGTGAGCTTCCTGCAGAGTCCCATGGCTCTGTTTGTGCCTCGCAGCTGCCCCGACTCTGTTGTATCTTCCTTGTATTTGCTTGCATAGCTTTAGAAGATGTTAGCTGTCCTTGGGCTGAGAAGGATTTCCATGTTCCTCAAGGAATATCAGCTCCTGCAGAGCCCTGCAGCGGCACGAGCTGCAGTGAGTTCGCTTTGCTGTTCTGATGTGAAAGCACCAAGGCCAAGCAGGAGGGATCCTTGCTCTGGAGGACTTTGTCCCTTCCTTCCAGCACGGAGATCTGATGGTCAGTTTGCCAAGCACAAGAGCTCCCATTCTGCAGCAGGAGAAGCAGGCTGGGCTTGAGTTCTGCTGCTCCTTCCACATTTATTGTCCCAGAGCTGTGGAACGGAGGGATGGAAGGTTTTGTTTAGAGATGGAATGGCAGGCACTTCTGTCAGTCACACAAAGACTCCGGTGTTGGATGGTTGGTGTGGATGACACTGCAGCTGAAGAGCTGCAGAAGAGAAGTCACTGAAGTCTTTGTTTCTTTGTAAGCAGCTGGAGCCAAGAGCTTGGGAACAGCTTAAATGTCCACAGAGCTGAAGAGGGGAAACCAATCCCCTAACAGAAAGATTCTGATTGTACTGCTTCAACGGCAGTGTTGTGACCTCAGTGTGACTCCCGTTTTCCTTGTTGTTTCTCCGTGGCTTTTTTCTGAGTGAGGCTTTTAAAGCTGCCTTCTGTGATGTGTTTTCTTTTTCCGTTGACAGCTCTGAAAGTGTGAAGCAGAGAAGTGATGTGTTTTACCTTCAGCCCGAGCGCTCCTGTGTACCCAACAGCCCCATGTGGTATTCCACATTGCCCATAGACCCAGGGACTTTGGACATCATGTTAACTCGCATTCTTATGGTGAGGGAGGTACACGAAGAACTTGCCAAAGTCAAATCAGAAGATTCTGATATTGAGTTATCAGACTAACTGAAGTGGGATGTTTTCCTTTGAATGCATCGGAAGCACCAAACTGTGAATACGTCCAGCTTTTGGAAAATGTGTATGAAATCAGCCAGGATGGTGTCACCTACAGGCATATTTGGAACCACAGCGGATGTACAAACTGGAACTGGAAGGAGACAAGCTCCATAAGCTGCAAGAAGCAACGTCCTGTGGCAGGCAGCCACGAATCCTCTGAACAAATACAAGTTGAACTAACCTGTTTGAGTGGTGCATAAATCCTTTATCTGTGTAGGGTTTAAAAAAGAAAAAAAAAAAAAAAAAAAAAAAAAAAAAAGAGATTTTTTTTTAAAGGAAAATGGTCGTGGAACATCTCCCATAAGGTGTCAGGCTGTGGCTCACGTCACCTCTCAGCCTGCTGGCTGGCAGTCCTTGCTGCCAAAGAACAGTGGAGATCTTGGAGGTCTTCACGGGAACAGGAGAGGATTTGGTGGTATGGAGAGAACCAGGCGACTTCCGTGACAAACACCAACAAGCTTTTGTAATGTTTTGTAAAGCCGGGATCAAACGCTGGCAGGCAGAGGCTGAGGGCACAGCAGGGAGCTGCTGAAGCCGTGGCTGCGGTGCCAGCCTTGCTGTCAGCCCAGGGCAGCAGCTCCCAGCCGAGCTGTGCACAGTGCTGTAGGTCAGAGCTGAGAGCATCGCCTCTGGGTTCCCTATGGGAGGGGGCAGCCGTGGGGCAGGAGCAGCAGATCCTTTACCTGCCCCCAGCTCTGCAGGCTGTCGATTCTAATCTAGCAAATACTGAGGTGCGTGGACGTTTTTTTTTCCCCTTGAGGCAGCTTTCCTTTCTCCTCTCTCCCCACTCCTGTGGTTTTGGTTATTTCAGAGGGCAAATCCCCAGGGTTACTCGGACAAAGGGACGTGCACTCTTTCTCTTTCCACCCTTGCAGTGCAGTGTTGTGCGAAGGACGCAGTATTACTTCTGACAGCAGAACTGTGGCAGCCAGCAGCCCTGTGTGTCTTTCCCACCCCACGCAGGGAGGTGCAGAGGTGTGATGCTGGGAAGTCAGGAAGCCTTTCTGGAGGCTTGGCTTTGAAGAGAAGAGCTCCCACCTTGTGCTGAGAGGACAGGACCTCATCAGATGCTGTCCGTGCCTCCATGCATAGCTGTGTGTTTCTGATGACTTAGCGACCACAAATCCATTGGAAACCCAAACTTTGCAGAAGAGAACGGTGTGGGTTTTCTCTAGTTCTGGTCAGCTGTCCATCTGCTGTAAAACAGGGGTCTGACATTTGATCTCGTCACTACAATTTCAAGAGGTGAAAATCGACAGCCTTTCGTTACCTTTTCTTTTTTGTTTCGTTTTTCGTTTGTTGGTCGTTGTCTTTTTTTTTTAATTATTTTTTTTTTTAGAGGTAACAAAAGTAATTTAACAAGAAAAAATAATAAAATCAGAAAAGTAGCCTATTGACGTCGTGTAAACTCGGTAGTCCTGTCCCTTGCCTGTAACAGATTTCACTGATGTATTTTTTAATACAGAAAACTTATGTGAAAAGTAAAGCTGCCCCTGGTTGTGTCTGCTCCAAGCCCACTGTGTGTGTGTGTGTGTGCTGCCCTGCTCTGCTCTGCCCTCCTGGGCAGGATCCTGGTTCCCTTGGCTGTCGTCCATCTGTACCGTTGCAGAAGCTGCCCTGGCTGCTCGGAGGCTCGTTGGAGGTTGGTTTCATGCTCTGAACGCCGACCTTCCCTCCCCACGGCGGTGTTGCAGTGGTTTGAACGCAGGCACGGCGTTTTGTGCTGGGATGCTTCAGGGAAAAAGGAGTTCAGTGACCGCATGGCTGGGTCTGTAGGGGGTGGAAAGAAGCCCGGGCTGCACTGGTGGCATGGAGCTGTGTCTGAATCTCAGTGTCAGGAGGAGGGAAGGAGCCAGGAGCTGCTGCATAATGCATTCGGTTTGCCCTGTCTGGAGCCCGTTGCTTTTTTGTGAGCACTTCTGCTTATGTTGATTTTATTTTTCCAGGTACTTAGAATGGAAGGGATTTGCCCTCAGCAGGGAGAGGTGAATCCCTAAAAGCGTGGCTGGCTGAAGGCGGTTGTTCCCCATGGCAAAAAATTCCTTTTATCTCATGGCTCTGAGGCAGACAGGGCTGCTGGGTGGTGCAAGGATCAGAACAGATGCTTTCGGTTTCCATTCCGGATTGAGACCCGCCCTGGGCGCTGTGCTGAGGCTCCCAGCCCTTCGCGGTCACGCAGGTCCGAGGTACGGAGATGACGCAGCAGTGCTGGAGCTCTGAGCGCTCAGATGAGGCGCTTTGGGACAAGAGCTGAATCCCCTGCTGGCCGTGCAACGCCGTGTATTGATGGTGTAAGCTTTGGGGGAGGAAAACCTCGTGTTGGAGAGGAGAGAAACAGCCACGATGAGCGCAAGAAGGGCGACGCCTCGTGCTGGTGGCTGTCCTCCCCCATCCCCGTGCCTTCCACTGCTGCAACCCGCCTGGCTGCGGCTCAGCGCACAGAGGCGACGCTGTGGCTGTTGGCTGGGGAGGACAGGCGGCGTTTCTGAGGGTGTTGCTGCAGGGAACGGCAGCGCAGGGGTCGTGCAGAGCAGTCGGTGCTCGCAGTGTTGGTTCAGAGGTGCTCAGCCCGGTGTCTGTGGGCGGATGGAGGAGCCTGGAGGCGTTTGGTGTCGCAGTGAGGTGCAGAAAGCGGCTCAGTTACGATAGGAATTGCTCTGCCAGCTTGAGAAGGAAGGCAGGCTCTGGGTTTCTCTGGCTGTAACCTCCAGCCAAGCCACGTCCCCTCGGAGACGCAGAGTGAAAGGGCACTGAGCCCCTGCCTGCTTCCTGCAGAGAGCAGAGCCGTGGGGCCGGGTGCTGCAGAACCTTTGGGTTCAGTTGCTGACTGGGGGAGGCCTTTCAGCCCCGTGAGCAGCGCAGAATTTTGGGAGGAGGTGGTGAATGTGAGCACAGGGCACAGCTGGGACGAACAGAAAGCCTTCCTGCACCCAGCACTGCAGCTCCATCTGTCCTGCATCTGCAGGAAGGGTCGCTGAGCTGAGCTGCTGGTTTCTCAGCAGAGATTGGGGTTGCATTGAAGGAAAACCAGGAGTGCAGGAGGTGGTGATGATTCACTTGGAGGGAAGGAGGGCATTGCCACAGGAAGCTCTCGAGCTGGACGAGGCATCAAGCACCAAATCTCCACCTGCCCCCCATGCGCACAGATGGCTCGGCAGCACTGCAGTCACACCCAGCTGTGGGAGCCCCTCACCCTTCTCTCCCTGTTTATCTGGAAGGCAAAGCACAGCACTCAGAAAGGCCTCTGAGAGCCACAGGGGCTCCTCCCTCTCGCCCAGGGCTTGGTAGCACTGCTCTGCCCCCTCCCCTCTGCAGCCCAGGGCCTGACAGCACTGCTGTGCAATGGGTGACGCCTCCCATGCGCTCCTTTGCCCCTCTGTACCTCGGTTGCACCCCTCTGTAAATTGGCCAGACTTTCCTACCTCGTTTGGGCATTATGAGGCTAAATTCCATAGGATGCTTTGCAGCCCCGTGATGAAAGGTGCTATAAAGCTGCAAAGCGTTGACTTCACAAGACTCAAATAGGTCGCCAGTGCATCATAACCTATATGAAAAAGACTTCTTTTTCTTATATGAGAATTTATAGAGTTCAATGTATGGTATTAATAAGTGAATTCCTGAGACCCCCCCCCCAGAAAATAGTTTTTGTTGGAATCGTATCTGTATTCTGCAAAAGTGATTAAAAATCTTTAACCTCAACCCGAGAGTGCAGCCTCGTTTCCTGCGTGCTGTTTCACTCCTCCAGCAGAGCTCCCCGCTCCCTGCCCCACACCGTGGATAACGAGGCTCTCCCTGAGCCCTGCGCCCACCTTTTCCATTTCCTTGCACCGCAGGACCTGCGTGCCCCCAACCCGGCCCTCCCGTCCCCCCCAGGACACACACGGCCACCAGTTCGTTTTCTCTGCCGTCTCTTTATTGTTCTGTGCGATGCGCTCCCGTTGGCGATCACGCAGCGGCGGCCGCGCCGTCTCTCGGCGTTTCTGAGCTTCTCCATCCATCCTTTAAGGGATCTTCGACCCGATCAGCGCACCGAGCGGCCCGAACACGGAGGCCAACCCGAGTTTGACACCAATGGAAAGCCCGGCGGCTCCTGCAGGGACGGAGAGCGGCAGATGCGAGCGCAGGGCGGAGGCAGCCGAGAAGCTCCGACCCGCTCGGCACCCGGGCGGCACGGAGCGCGCGTCCAAAAGCGCAGGATCCCTTCCCCAAACCGATCCCTTCCTCCACCCAGGCTTTGTGCCACCCCTCAACCTTTCGGGTGAACGAAGCCGGCCCGCAGCCCCGCGCTCACCGACCGACTGCAGCACGGCCACGATGCTGCCCGCAGCCACTCCGCCGCCGTTGGCGATGGCCGCAGCCGACATCATCTTAGCGGCTATGGAGTCCGCGGCGATGCCGGCAGTCGTGAAGCCCAGCGACGAAATGGTTAACGGGACGGCCACGAGCACCGCTCCTGCACCGGGACATCGCCGCGTTAACGCAGCCCTGCCGGCTCTGCGCCCGACGGAGCTGCGGGATCCCGCGGGGCGGCGATGCCCCGATCCCACGAGGCAGCCGATGGCCCCGGCCCCGAGCCGCTGCTGCTCCCCCCATCGCACCGCCAGCCCTCACCTGTTGCAACGCCGCACCCCACGAGGGCATGAATGATCGGTTTCACGGCTGAAGAGGAAGAAAGCAGAGAAAGCGTTGCTCAGCTCTCGCAGCCCTGCAGCCTCAATCCCCTCCCGCCCCGTTTCCCGCAGTACCTGCCGCCTGTAACATCCTCACAGCACCTCTGAGCACCCACGGACCCAAACACCAGCGGAGCAGGGAGCCCAGCACTGAGCGCAGCGATCCCCGTGCTGTGATAAGAGGCGGGGGGGGCGGAGGGGAGAGGAAACAAGCGATGATGTAAGGAAAGTGAATTTCCAGGAAATCCGTCTGTTTGCTTTCGGTTTTGCTAAGTTTTCTGGATCGAGCCCAGCGTTTAACCCTTGCCATGCCTGTTCACATTGCTGTGCCGGGGGGTGGCGGCAGGGCTGGGTGCCGCCTCGCAGTGCAGCGCACGGCCGGGGGTGGACGGGGCAAAAGGCAGGAGCCGGAGGGTCAGAGCCTCCCGTCTGCGATCGTTGCTTTATTGAGGTCTGACAGCGGTGAAGCTCTGCACTTCTGGATGAGGAATGGTGGACGTTCCCAGCTCCTCCCCCTCCGCTCAGCAGCTTCAGAAAAACGCCCCAACCCACTCCTTCCCAGCCCTCCCCACGCCCCATTGCCCCCTCCTTACCCTCTGCGTCCCCTCCGTGTCTCCAGGCCTCGTGTCACCTCCTGCCGCCTCGTGTCACTGTGTGCCCCACTGCAGCTGGTTGAAGGGGACCAAATCCAGTTGTAGTTGATCTGGTTCCTTTTTACCAGCCTCAGGGACGCACCGCTCCGTCGCTCCGCAGAGGCCATCAGAGCTGCTGGAAGTGATGGGGTCCCAGCACGGGGGTCCCAGCCCAAGGATACATACTTCTTAACATTCCATAACGCCGGCCGACTCCATATGGGCATATGAAGAAGTATGTAGGGTTGGGAGGAAGAGGAAGAGGCAGCAGGCACAGGGCTGCTCCTGGAGGCAGCCCCAGCCCACGGGGGCTTCCAGCACAACCTCCAACCTGCCAGGTGTGCTCCATCTCTTCCCCATCTCCACTCATCAGCACCAAACCCCAATGGCACCCAGCTGCAGCCAAGCACTCATTAACCCGCCCCAGGCCCTACCAGGGTCCCTCTTTCCCACAGCTGTGCTGGCTCACAGTGCCCCCCCCCCCCCCCCCAGCACCCCTCACTGCACTGCAGTCGGGGACGGGGGCACAGCACCAACCTGCATCCCCTCCTTTATAAGGCTGGGATCGTGCAGGAGCCCTCGTCCCCCACAGCATCTCCTGGCACAGCAGGCTGGGGGCACCTCTCCCAGTGTGCGGATTTGGGAGTGTGTCTGGAGTTGGAAACCACAGTGAGGGGTGGAGGGGGCTCAGCAGACCCAGTGCAGTGTGACCACAGCCAGGCCATGGTGCTGGGAGGGGACGAATATGATACCAGCTGGGCTGTGTTGTGACCCCAATGACCTTCCTATCCCTAATCTCAGAGCTGGAGCACTGCATGGGAACACAGAGACAGGCCCTGTGGGGCAAGGGGGGCACAGGAAGCCTCTGCGGGGCTGTAGGGGCACCCAGTGCTGCCGTGACTCAGCGCCCCGTGTGCTGCAGCTCTGCAGGAGCCAGAGACAACCAAAGCAGCAGAGCCTGGGGGTGCCCTGATCCCCCCCAGTGCCATGGGGCTGCCCAGAGCCACAGACACCGTGGGGACACGACTCCCAGGGGCCGGGTCACCAAGCTGGTGGCAGCTGGAGATGCAGTCCAGTGCCCCCAAAAGCATTCTGAGGGCATCCTGTGGCTGCGCCGCAGGGATGTCCCTGCTTTACCCCTTTGGCTTTTCCAGCCCTGAGCTGTGCTGCAGGGGTGTTTTGGG